AGATATCCCAACACCAGTGAAGGATCATGAAGCGGTGCTTTGTGCCTTGCCACAAAAGGCGCTCTGTCATCCTGAAACCCCTCTAATTCAATTAGGCCGTGAGGTAGCACGTTAATTTGCCAAGAATCCCTCTGAAGCAGGATGCAGCCCCCCGGCGTGGCCTCAGCGCTGGGTGCCGTGGCCACACAGGGCTCGAGCGATTTCCACTATGTGGGGGAGGGGTTGGTGCGTGAACCTGTGGGGTAAAAGCGGGGCTACCAAGGAGATGATTGGAAGCAGCTTGACCTCTGACCCCGAGGTGAAGGGCCAACGAAAGATGTTGAATTAACCTGGATTTTGTAAGAAATGGGCACATTCTCTCCTACGCTTTCAAGGAGGGCAGGAACAGAGACACTTGGCTTAATTTAAATAAAATGGTTCTAATAATGGTGTTTCTGAAAAAGAAAAGTTCACTTATATTCTGCTTAGTAATTATGCAACCTTGAAGATAAGTGATGGCTAGAAGCATTTGATAGCTGGGATCTAGCAGTCATCTTACAAAGCCTCTTTGATAATCTCTCATCTCGAGGAGCTCTTCCTTGATTATCTTAAATTGAAGTGGCTCCAGTGTATTAATTAAAGAATCAGGTCTCATTTACATGTAGGATACTTTCATCATTCTTCATGAAGAGCTAAGAAGCAGGGTTTATGGGATTTTTACTTGTAAAAAGTTCATTTTCCACACAGTAATATGACACAAAGGATCTCGCATGCTCAGATTGCTAGAGATGCAGTTTCGACCATAACAGCTGCAACTGAGCTGATATACCTTAGAATTTTGTTTTTCAATTTCGTTAGAAAAGTATATTTATGGAGAAAAATAAACTTACGGTGCATCTTTTCAGAGCGCCTAAGAACAGGTGTTAGGGTAATATCGGAGTGGGGAAAAGTAAAGATTTGGCTTTAAATGACACACCTAATGAGTGGACCTGTGAAAGTCCAGGTCAGGCCAGGTTTCCACGTTCAGATTTTCTCTTTGCAAACCCGTGTGAATGTGTGTGGGAGATGGAGACAATCCGGCAGCACTGCGGACATGTGACACGCGCGGAGCAGGGAGTGCGGGTGTTATTATACCGTCTGTAATGACACCGCCCTCGGCGCTCCTCGGACGATCACGGCCATGAGACGAGCAGTGAAGATATTTCATCCTGGTTATAACGCATAAAGCAGCACGGTGCTTTAATTGCTAGCAGATTAATGTGATTTCCTGAGTTTCCTCTTTCATATTTGCTAAAAGGTCACAGTGAAAGCCTTGCGGCTGAGCAGAGGAAGGCCCTGCCCACCCACAGGCCATCTCAGGATTTCATCAGCTGTATGCCGGCCCACCCGCACCCCATCTCCACCTACGTTTCCCCTATTAGTGACCCCCCCCCCCCCCCCTAGAATTGGGGCAAATCTCTTCCCCTATTTAGAAGACAAACAACCCCGTAGATAATGATGTAACTGGAAAGTCTTGCCTCAGAGTCTTCTGCTGTCCTTATTTGGTTTGTTTGTTGGTAGAAATTGGGTGGGGGGGGGTCTGTTACTGTTTTTACTGTGGATTTAAACAGAGTGATTAAGACAGGTGTGCTGGTACCTGTAGTGTGACCCCACAAACGCAGCATGGAGATCAATACACACACTCTCCCCTGTCTTTCTCCTTCAGTGCACCAAGTGCCGCTTAACCACTGCCGTGGAGGGGGGGGGTTAATTCAGGCAGAGTACCGACAGCTGTGGCAGGTCCGTCGCTGGCCCGGCTCCACCGTGCCAGATTAATGACCTCGACTGCCTGGCGTAGTGGCCACCTCCATTTACTCTTGACCATTAATTACCATTGGCACCCCCTGCCTGCCCGAGGGCGGGGCCTTTTCACCTGGACCCTCCGCATGCTCCCTCAGATGCTTTTGATCGTAAGCAGCTTATGAAGATTCCTGTTTCTCATGCAAGACAGAACCTGTGGCATCTCAGCTACGAGCCAGATGGCTTCAACCACTATGCCACCTACTGGCTGAGAGTTTTGACGGTGTGCTCTGTCTGTTGTTGCAGGAAGCTTTCAGTAGGCCTTTTCTGATGCTTTGTTCTGGGCCCTGTCCCCTATGTCGTTTTCAGCGGTGAATCTCATTCTCAAGAGGTCACCTTCTCCTGTATACCTGCTCCCTCGCTGCGGCCATTTTGGCTCTGACGATCCCTGGCTCACACAGCACCTCTCAATTAGTGCTAATCTTGCCTGTCTGAGGTTTATTTAGCCTGAAATGTCTGGAGTCAACACGAATCTGCCAAGCCTCTTGGTCAGGAATCACCTGAGAGTCTCTTTAATAGGATCTCGGGTCTCAACTGGGCCCTTTCACTCTGGGATCTCTGCTCAGCAAAGGGCCCCATCGTACCCTCTTTCTGTCTTGGGACCAGTGAGACGGATAGCAAGCAATGCTGAGTGTGAGAGCAACGTTTCTCTGCAGACTTGCGGTGCTTTTTTAACTGATAATGTGCCTTTATCAGATATTTTCTGGCTTTTGTCCCAGTTAAACCTTGTGAGACATAGTGCAGATGTTTCCCTGAGTATCTGTGGTGTTACTTGGTCGTGACGTCAGGATTGGAGAAGTTCTGATGAAACTCTGAGGACCTGCACAGGTGGCATCAGTGGATATTGCCATTTCTTTATGTTTCGAAGCGTTTCCTGGCCTAACTGAATATAGCCCCCCCCCCCCCCCATTGCCCACACAACGTGTTACGCTCCTGTTATGTAACCACGCCGAGCTCCCCTGACTGTTCAACTGCAGTTGCACCTGTGGTTTCTCTGCAGTTTTAAGAGGAAGAGAGGTCACCGTTTCCTTCGCTTCCCACCTTCCTCAGTTGCAAAACCTCTCCAGCAAACAGGTGTGTGTAATCAGCCACCACAGAGGCTGCGGCTTGACACCCCCCACCTCCACCTCCGCCCCCTCACCCGGTCAAGGTTACACAACCTCTGCTTCCTGTGAAGCATGCGTCATGAGTCATTAGTCACCAGCAACCCAGGGTCTTGTGACTGGGTCACTTTCTTGTCCTGTTTCTATACCTGTTTCACCCAGTTTCCACCCAGTTCCTGCCCTGTTTCTGCCCAATTCCTATCCTGTTCCTGTCATATTCCTGCCCTGTTCCTCCCCTATTGCTACCTTGTTCCTGCCATGTTCCAGCCCTGTTCCTGCCTGACTCCTACCCTTTCCCAGCCCTGTTTCTGTACTTGTTACTCTCCAGTTCCTGTCCTGTTCCTGCCAGGTTCCTGCCCTGCTCCTCTCAGGTTCCTGCCTGATTCCTGCCCTGTTCCTGTCAGGTTCCTGCTCTGTTCCTGTTAGTTTCTTGCCTGATTCCTACCCTGTTCCTGCCTAGTTCCTAATCAGTTTCTGTCTGATTTTCACCACTGGAATGAGACCTTCTTGCCCTCCTGCTACCTTTTCAGCTGAGACGTGCAGCAAATCCAGCTTTTTATGAAATCAGTCAACAGAAAACTGTGGAAAGAGTGAAGGATGACTGGAACTTTGGCGGGAATCACTCCACTAGACAACTTGGGAATCAGTCGATTTGTCTAAACATACGGTGTGAAACATCTAGGTCCAGTGGGACCCTCTTCCAGGGTTCACGTGGTCTAGATTCCCCAGCCCAATCGTTAGCAGTCAAATGCTGCTGGGCTTGAATAGGTGAGGGAGCATTCTCAAATGTCAGCGAGGATCCTGCTCACGTTGGGCTCAGTGTGAATTAAACACATCTGTCTCTTGCCGACGGCACGCCACGGTGGGGCACCATCACTCCAATTATTATCCATTAAAAGGGGATGATTGATCGGAACCTCCGGAGAACGGGCCGATAAGAGCCCGTTGGTTCCTCTGTAGAGGACAGGCAGGGAGGGGGGGGACACCCCCCTAAGGCTGGACGCTACAAATCTATGAAGTTCCACATCTCCTGCCACAACCCAATCGAACCACATGCTGAGAGCCCCAATGGAAAAGTGCTGGCCTGCCATTGGCCAAGCGCCCCCTCTGGAGATAGTCAGGAGAGACACCACAGGAGTCGGGACACTGGCCATCGCTGGTGGGGCAGAACCAGTTTGAGCAGCAGAGAGGCCCCATGACAGATCGAAGCCCAAAGCCTGAAAACTCATCTGCTTAATGTGAACCAACAGGGCATATAGAAATAAGTGACCTCAACCTTCCCCAATAAGTCTTCACATCAGAGGGCAAAATAGCTGGCCTGTCCTCCAGGTAACTGCATTTACCGGCCAAGCGGCTGTCATTTTTAACCCTGTAGCATGAAGGAGGAGCTGGGAGCATCCCGCAGGTCTCTGGGGGAGCACGATATGATCTCCCAACGTGTTTTAATCAAGGCTTCTTTCACCATCGTTCCCCTCCGATCGTTTTTAATAGAAGACAAACACGTCATGGTCACGCTCCTGCACATAGCGTCTGGATTTACGAAAAACATGATGATAACACCTGTGTTATATAATGCACGTCATGGATGAACATGCCCTACTAACGTTATTAATTAAATTCACACCACCATGTGGTCGGGGGAGCTGTGGGGGGGGAGGGCAGAGCGATTAATCTACCTGAAAT